GTGTTATGCAATGTTTTTACATTTAGTATACTATTACACTGAATTCTATGGGATAATTAACTATTTTTGTGCTTAATAATCTTAAAAAAACTATATTTATATACAGTTCGTAAGAGCCTGGATTGTATTAATCGTATTTACATACAATCCAATGGGGAAATTAGGTTCGAGTCACGACCAAACCGGTTGCGACCAAAGTTATGGAACGAATTATGGTCGTGACCAGATGTTCTACTGTACACCACACTCCCGGTGAAAGTGCACCATCTATTGGGGAAATGGGGGCATTACAGGAGGAAGGTAAAATTTTATTTAATAATAATATTTGGACAAGTTCGGCGGTCTGGATTAAAAAGCCCAATGGGCTGTACTTTGCCCATGTCTGCTCTACACTATACACTACACTTTACACTACACTACTATACACTTCTTCTTCTTGTTCGTCCATCAAAGTTGATGATGACCATGGCACGTTTGTCATTTTGTTGGGTTTTGATGAGTGCGCAGATGGCTGAACAGGCCAATCCGAGCCCGGAATTCTCTGGCACACTGGACAGGTCAGGGAGGATGTAAAGCTCTGAGGTGCAGCCACAAGTCCTTCCTTGGTAGATTTGCGCTGCTGCCTCTTCAAGATAGCACAGGAGCTTCTCCTACTCTCACAGAGGACTGCACCGTCCTGTACTTTTCTTCTCCAGGCAGGTCAGTCCTGTGCTAGGGATTCCCAGCTTTTCAGGTCGAATCCAAAGCTCTTCAAGGAAGCTTTAAGGGTGTCCTTGTAGCGCTTTTTGGGGCCACCTTGTGCTCACCTGCCATTCTTCAGCTCACCAAAGAAGACTTGTTTTGGAAGTCTCGTATAGGGCATTCTGGTCACGTGGCCAGTCCATCTAAGCTGTTCCTTCGCAAGCAAAGTGTAGATGATGGGGATATTTGCCTTGCTGAGGACTTCCGTGTCAGGGATTCTGTCTTGCCACTTCATCCTCAGCAGTTTCCTCAGACAGCTCAAGTGGAGATGATTCAATTTCTTGGCATGGCGCTGGTAAACTGTCCATGCTTTGCACCCATACAGAAGAGTTGGTAAGACAACAGGCCGGTAGACCTTCAGTTTTGTCTCCTGCTTGATGCCAGTCCTTTCCCATACCGAGTCATGTAGACGTCCAAAGGCTGCACTGGCCTTGACAATCCTGATGTTAACTTAATCATCTATGTTCACAGCACGAGACAGTGTACTACCAAGGTAAATAAACTTGTCAACGGCTGAAAGCTTTTGCCCATTCACAAAGATGGTTGGCTCAGTGTAGGGTTTCCCAGGAGCAGGTTGGTATAGGACTTCAGTCTTCTTTGTGCTGATTGTTAGGCCGAAGTTGTTACAAGCTGAGGAGAAGTGATCCATACTGTAGATCTTTATTTGAGCCAGCAGCCAGAGCACCGTCATCAGCAAACACAAGTTCTCGAACAGTGACTTCCTCCACTCTAGTTTTGGCTTGCATCCTCCGCAGATTGAATAACCCACCGTCAAAACAGTAGATGAAGTTAATCCCAGTGTTGTGGTTCTGGAGTGAGTCTTGCAGCATGGCAGAAAACACCATGCTGAAGAGCGTTGGCGCTAAAACGCAGCCTTGCTTCACCCCGTTTGTGATTGGGAACGGATCAGTTCTTGCTGGTCTCTGACGCTGGCCATCATGCCATCATGGAGATTGCGCACGATGCCAATGAACTTGTCTGGACACCCATACTTGGCCATGATTTTCCATAGGCCCTCCCGGCTGACTGTGTCGAATGCTTTTGTTAGATCAACGAAAGCCATATATAGATCAACATTTTGTTCTTGGCATTTCACCTGTAACTGCCGGGCAGTAAATACCATGTCAGTGGTTCCGCGGTCTTTTCTGAAACCACTCTGACTCTCAGGTAGCAGACCCTGGTCTAGGTGGACAATTAGGCGGTTCAGAAGGATTCTTGCCAAGATTTTGCCAGCGATTGATAGTATAGATATGCCTTTATGGTTGTCGCAGTCCTGCCGATTGCCTTTCCTCTTATATAGATTGATTATAGTGGTATCCTTGAACTCCTTGGGAACGGCTTCTAATTTCCACAGAGACTGGAAGAGGTCGGTCAGTTTCTCGACTAAGCGAGGCCCTCCAGCCTTGTAGATTTCTGCTGGAATGGTATCGGACCCTGGAGCTTTGCCTGATGAGAGGAGTGTTATGGCTTTGCTGGTTTCCTCAGTGGATGGTAGAACAGCAAGGGACTGGTTTATTTCAACTTGAGGCAGTCTCGCAATTGCCTCCTCATTTATGCATGATGGCCGGTTGAGGACTGCGCTGTAGTGTTCGGCCCACCTTGCAAGTATTTTGTCCTTCTCTGTGAGGAGTGTTGTTCCATCTGCATTCAGGAGAGGTGAAGTTCCTGAGCGTTGCGGATCATAGCCATGCTTCAGTGCATCATAGAGGCACTTGGTGTTGTTACTGTCAGTGTAGGATTGAATCTCCTCAGCTTTTGCGCACAGCCAGATGTCTTGCATGACTCTGAGTCTCTGCTGAACAATCCTGCGAATTTAATCTTAATTTTAGAACTTTCGTGACTGCAGGAATTATTATTTGGTTCTTTCGGTTAAGTCACGTCTAAAGATAAAATAATAAATTAAATTAAATAATAGCATACGACGTTTCGATTGCAACACAAGCAATCATCATCAGGTATAATGAAATAGCGACATAAAATCTAACCAGAAAACTATAGACAGACATATTAGCAGACAGATATCACCAAGATGCATAGAGGGAGCAACACAGGTAACAGAGAGGGGTGATCATCTCTGTGGGGTGGCCTTAAATAGACAGAGGGGGGAGGAGGCAGAGAGAGGGAGGGGGTTAGAGAAAACATTTGCATATCAATGAGTGGTCAAAAAACAAGGTTCTGCAAGTGCGATGACACGGCAAGCAAGTCTGAAAATCAGGAGGACAAACTAAAATTCAATAACCAAGTAAAATATCGAAATGTAATGTAATACAACACAGAGGGTCGGTCAACACACAATTAACGCATAGCCTGGTTGATTACGTATTTCAAAGATTGCTAAGTTAGAATTTAAGTGTGAACATTCCAAAGAGAAGACACAGGCAGAGAGAAGAGAGAGAGAAAAAAAGGATAAGCTCAAAACTTCCCCGTAGAAGTGGTTCAATCTTAATTTTAGAATTTTCGTGACTGCAGGAATTATTATATGGTTCTTTCGGTTAAGTCACGTCTAAAGATAAAATTATAAATTAAATTAAATAATAGCATACGACGTTTCGATTGCAACACAAGCAATCATCATCAGGTATAATGAAATAGCGACATAAAATCTAACCAAAAAACTATAGACAGACATATTAGCAGACAGATATCACCAAGATACATAGAGGGAGCAACACAGGTAACAGAGAGGGGTGATCATCTCTGTGGGGTGGCCTTAAATAGACAGAGGGGGGAGGAGGCAGAGAGAGGGAGGGGGTTAGAGAAAACATTTGCATATCAATGAGTGGTCAAAAAACAAGGTTCTGCAAGTGCGATGACACGGCAAGCAAGTCTGAAAATCAGGAGAAGGACAAACTAAAATTCAATAACCAAGTAAAATATCGAAATGTAATGTAATACAACACAGAGGGTCGGTCAACACACAATTAACGCATAACCTGGTTGATTACGTATTTCAAAGATTGCTAAGTTAGAATTTAAGTGTGAACATTCCAAAGAGAAGACACAGGCAGAGAGAAGAGAGAGAAAAAAAAAAGGATAAGCTCAAAACTTCCCCGTAGAAGTGGTTCAATCTTAATTTTAGAACTTTCGTGATTCAAGCGCTGTAGAATGCAGCACTGTCTTGAGAGCAGTCCAGTCTGCCTCAGTGTCTGTATGCTCGAAGCTTAGAGACTCCACACTACTATACACTACATTACTATACACTACACTACTATACACGACACTATTATACACTACTATACTCTACTCTACACTATACACTACACTTTACACTACACTACTATACACTACACTACTATACACCACTATACTATACACTATACTCTACACTACTATACACTACACTACTATACACTGCACTACTACATAGCTGTCAACCCCTTATCAGTGCCCTACCTTATTACAGACCAATTCATACATTTGATGATGAGTCGAGAATGGTTTGAAGCACTTCTTTAATTCACCAATGCACAGCAACACTCGTTCCACAACCAACCCCGTCGCACAGCGCCCTTTAACACATCTGCAATACACATTCCCGTCTGGCACGCCTTGGTCTGGGTGACGTCACTGCCCTTTGACCCCAGACCCCTGTCCCACGTATTCCCGCGCGTGCGATTGGTGCGTGTTGTCGTGAGAGCGGAGACGTCGTGTTTGCGTGGTGCGTGAGGGTGGCTCGTCCTTACACCTTTATTGGTCAGGCCCGCGCCCTTATAAATCTCAACGTTCATCCTATAAAGACCCATCACGTGACAATGGTGATTGCTGATAATGCCGATTGCTGATGATGATGGTGATTACTGATGATGGTGATTACTGATGATGATGGTGATTGCTGATGATGATGATGATAATTACTGATGGTAATTGCGAAGGATGGAGTTTGTTAATGGTAATTACCAATGATGGCGATTGTTTGTGATGGGGATTGCTGATGATGGTGATTGCTGACGATAGTGATTGTTAATGATGGTGATTGTTGATGATGGTGATTGCTAATGATGGTAATTACGAATGATGGTGATTGTTGATGATGGTGATTGCTGACGATGGTGATTGCTGATGATGGTAATTACGAATGATGGTGATTGTTAATGATGGTAATTACCAATGATGGTGATTGCTGATGATGGTGATTGCTAATGATGGTGATTGCTGATGATGATGGTGATTGCTGATGATGATGGTGATTGATTGCTGCTGACAACAATGATAATGGTGATTGCTAATGAGGCTTTTTTTTCTTATTTTCATCCGCGCAGGTCGAGAACATCTTCCAACAGATCCAGGACAAACTCCAGGGTCTCTCTGACCAAGTTATCGGAAGAAATATCCGAGCAAGTTGCATAAGTGTGGTTCGCGTGTGTGTGTGTCTGTCCAGTGCGTGCTTTGTGCGTGATTAGCGGTCTGTGTCCGTGGGGTCTACGTATTGGTACGTATCTGTTGTTATTGTTGTTCTTGGTATTGCATTGTTTAGTGATACTTGCCTTGGCAGCTGTGCACGTTCAATACTCAGCGCCTTCGTCATTACGACTGCCCTAATAGGAGCAATGTAATGGTATGTGTGATTTTTGTGCGGTTAATATGGGGGTGTGCGCGTGGTTGGTTGGCGTTTGTGTATGTCAGGGGTCCTCAAACTACGGCCCGCGGGCCACATGCGGCCCGCCGAGGACATTTATCCGGCCCGCCGGGTGTTTTTGCCGCCGCTGCCTGTCTGTTACTTTTTTTTTACATGAGAAGGACGGTTATTGGTGGAAGAGGGAGAGGGGGCGGAGTTCCCCCCAATCAGACTGCATTGATGGGCAGTGCAGTCTGTATGTCTCTGTGTGGGCAAAGTTATTGCTGGTATATTGTTTTTGTAGCGCTGTATATATATTGGTATTTTACTAATAGCAATTTTGACTACCTAGGAAACAATGATGTCAAGAAAGAGAAAAATTGACTCGGAGTGTAGGATATTCAAAGAACAGTGGACTTATGATTACTTTTTCATGCAGTACAAGGAAAGAGCTGTGTGTCTGATATGCCAGAATATAGTGTCTGTGTTCAAAGAATACAATTTACGTCGACACTATAAAACTCAACATAAAGATAAATATGATTGTTTGGTCGGAGAAGTGAGAAAAGATAAAGTATTAAAACTGAAAAATACATTAACAACTCAGGAAAATACTTTTGTGAAGCAGAAGCAGCTAAATATTTCATCACTGCGAGCAAGTTTTCAAGTTGCCAAGCTAATAGCGTGCACTGGCAGACCATTCGTGGAGGGAGAATTTGTTAAAGAATGCCTTCTTTCTGTTGCCAAAGAGATGTGTCCAGAGAAGGCCGATTTATTTAGTACAGTGAGTCTTTCAGGACCTACAATTACACGGAGGATTGAAGAAATGGGAGACAATTTGCATCAGCATTTGCAAAACTCCACAAAAAAACTTTCCTATTTTTCCTTGGCACTCGACAAAAGCAATGATGTTCGTGATTCTGCACAACTTCTAATTTTTATTCGTGGGACGAATGACTATTTCGAAGTCACAGAAGAGCTTGCTGCACTGCAAAGCATCAAAGGAACAACTACAGGAGAGGATATCTATGAAAAGGTTTGCCAAACTGTGAATGGTTTGAAGCTGAACTGGGCTAAACTAGCCAGTGTGACAACTGATGGTGCTCCTAGCATGATGGGGTCTAAGAAAGGAGTAATTGCTCGCATTAACCAAGAGATGGACAAACATAACCATTCTCATCCAATAGCCATACACTGCCTCATCCACCAACAAGCGCTGTGTAGTAAATCACTGAAGTGGGACTCTGTTATGAAATTTGTGGTATCTTGTGTTAACTTCATTAGAGCTCATGCACTAAACCACAGACAATTTCAGGAATTTCTGTCTGAGCTAAATGTTGACTATGAAGATGTTCTGTATCACACAGAAGTCCGTTGGCTGAGTCGAGGGAGAGTTTTGAAACGTTTCTATGACTTACTTCCACAGATTACAGCTTTTCTGCTTTAAAAAAACAAAGACGTACCAGAGCTCAATGATGCAGAATGGAAATGGCACCTTGCCTTTCTGACAGATGTAAAAGAGCTACTCAACAGTTTCAATGTGCAACTTCAAGGAAAGGGGAAGCTCATCTGTGATATGCAATCACATGTCAAAGCATTTGAAGTAAAATTAGGCCTCCTCATCAAACAAGTGAAGGAGGAAAACTTCTGCCATCTCCCCACAACTCAAAATCTGTTAGTGGAAAAACCATTGGTTGCATTCCCAAACAAAACATGTGTGGATTCACTGGAAAAATTGCAAAAGGAGTTCCAATTTTGATTTAAAGAGCTTCATCTCCATGAACAGGACGTACAGCTTTTCCGTAAACCATTTTCTATTGACATTGAAAATGTGAATACAATTTACCAAATGGAACTGGCTGAACTGCAGAATTGTGACTCTCTGAAAGACGCATTCAAGTCAAGCAGCCTTCATAATTTCTATGCATCTCTCCCCTCTGAGACATATCATCATCTCAGGAACCATGCACTCAAAATGGCAACCATCTTTGACAGCACTTATGTCTGTGAACAGACTTTTTCCAGAATGAAACATTTGAAATCTCCAACCAGATCTAGACTAACGGATGCACACTTGCATCACTTGTTACGACTAGCAGTGACAAATATGGAACCGGACATTGACCATCTCATTAGCCAAAAGCAGGCCCATAGTTCCCATTGAAATACTGGCAAGTTTGTTGATTTAACTTTACTTGTTCTTCATTTTAAATATTGTATATGTTCCCGTTTTGTTTCTTCACTTCAAAATAAGATATATGCAGTGTGCATAGGAATTTGTTCATAGTTTTTTTTTAACTATAGTCCGGCCCTCCAACGGTCTGAGGGACAGTGAACTGGCCCCCTGTTTAAAAAGTTTGAGGACCCCTGGTGTATGTTGTATGTGTGTGGTTGGTGTGTGTTTGTGCGAAACATGGACCCCCCTAATGGATCATCTTCGCCGGTTAGAAACATTTAGGCTGGCCTGCCTACGATCCATCCTGGGCTTAACTAGGCTGGATTATGTGAGGAGCTCACAAATCCTTGAAAGATCTGGGTAAAGTCCCATCGGTGAGCTCTTCCGGCAGGCAAGGCTGCGTTGGCTGGGTCATGTAGCCCACATGCCCAGCCTCCGCATGCCTAAACAGCTTTTGCAGCACGGGCTAGAGAAGAGATGGAGTGATGTGGTACAAGAGGACGTGGAGCTGAGTGGACTTGCCGATGACTCATACCAGCGGTGTCAAGATCGGCCTCAGTGGAGGAGGCTCGTGAAGGACGCTATTGGGCAGTTGGAGGCAGTCGCCCTCCAACAACAACAGAGGGCGGAGGAGTGACGCTCACAACAACGAGCGGAGCGCCGAGTGGCTAAAGCACAGCAAGTTGGCGCACAGTAGGGGGCATAGGTGGTGCATCAGCCAGTCATCTCAGTCATCTCAGTCATCTCAGTCAGTGGACCTGTGGCATACGTGGGGGGGGGGGGGTGTCCAGCATCACGCCCGACCGCCTTTGTCTCCCCAGTGGCGATGTTTACACAGCCTACCAGGTTCTCGTATGAGGCTGAGTCGACCTCGGGTAGGCCCAGGGCCGGTTCATATAATCGTCACCAGTGTTAGCCGTGAGCGAGAATCGAACTCGGGTCACCGGGTTTGTAGCGCAGCGTGCTAACCGTACACCACTATTCCCCCCACATACTCACACTTGCACACAAAGACAAGACAAAGATCCCCCATATGGCCTCAACAGACTTTTGGGGCATGTGGTTTGAGCGAGTAGCGCCTATGACGGCACACATGCCTGCCGCCACACACGCCTGCTGCCACACAGGCGGTAGGCACCCGAGTCGGGAATCAAACCGAGGTGCTTCTTGCTGTGAGGCGCAGATGTTAAACCATCTCGCCAATGTCCTGCGAGAGGCGTATGGAATTGAGAGCATTGCGCTTGTTCGTTCGTGAACTTCTTTTGCGCCCGCCGCGTCGTATCCCTTAACCCCGGTGCCAACTCGATGGGATGAGCGGGCACGTCGATGACCTGGAGAGGCAAGTGTCGGATCTGATGACCCGGACGAGGCTGGAGGAGTTCGAATCACACCGCCGCGGTAAGATTCGTTGGCCCCAGTGTTGCCGCCGGAGTGGCGGCCGCGATGAGCGGTCGGTGACAGTGGTGCGGCCCTGCAATTGGTCGCTCGCAAGCACCCTCCAGAGAGAGGGACCTCTACTAGAGGGACCTCAAGGGAGCCCCCCCCCCCCCCCCCTGCCGTTCATAAGATATTTGGCCTACTCTACGCTGCCCAGACGTCCTTGGAAGCAGTGCCGGATGAAGCTAGTGCGGGGCCTGTAGCATATCTTATAAAGGGGCCCTAAATAAAAAAAACGTAAATATAAAAAAAAACATTTTATTTTTTCATTTTCTATACAGCCAGATAATACTACAAATCGCTAACCTTAAACACCCAGTCATCGTTCATTACAGTTGAAGGCAGTATAATTCTATAGTAATAGAGCAAGTGCAGAATCACAGAACCGGAATTGAGAGTAGTAATAGGTTTTTACCCTTTCAACTGGTACAAAAACTGACACCTTTATATAAGGCATCATGTTTGCAATAACCACAACACAAGCAGTCAAAATGCACACAAAAAGAAACAACTTTGATGATGATAATGATATGCACTGTCCTTGAAGTTGATTGGTCCACACCCAAGACATATTTTCTTAGAGCCTAGTCTCCATTGGTGTTGAACCAGATGACGCCAAAAGGCGTACAACTCAAAGACAGCGCACTATCAGAGTATTGAGAGCTCGGGGTAAGCATTTACACTGAGACCTCCTTTACCAGTGGCAAAATATAGTATTAGGTTTTTACCCTTTCAACTGGTACAAAAACTAACACCTTTAGATAAGGCATCATGTTTGCAATAATCACAACACAAGCAGTCAAAATGCCACTGGTAAAGGAGGTCTCATAGTGTAAATGCTTCCCCGAGCTCTCAATACTCTGATAGTGTGCTGTCTTTTGAGTTGTACGCCTTTTGGCGTCATCTGGTCCAACACCAATGGAGACTAGGCTCTAAGAAACGCTGTCTTGGGTGTGGACCAATCAACTTCAACGACAGTGCATATCATTATCATCATCAGAGTTGTTTCTTTTTGTTTGCATTTTGGCTGCTTGTGTTGTGGTTATTGCAAACATGATGCCTTATATAAAGGTGTCAGTTTTTGTACCAGTTGAAAGGGTAAAAACCTATTACTATATTTTGCCACTGGTAAAGGAGGGTCTCATAGTGCGGAATTGAGAGCTTGAAAGCATTTGGCGTGGGGCCCTTGAAAGTGCGGGGCCCTAGTATTGATACTTTTGCTCCTAGGATAATCCGGCACTGCTTGTAAGAGTACCCACACTCTACCCCGCCGCAATAGATGGACTTAACTAGTGTACCTATTTATACCGATCGGTGGACAGAGATGGAGGGTGGTGGGAGGGGTACTTGAGACACTCATCTTCGCAACTGCCGCACCCGGAGGTGGAATCGAGCCGTCGACCTCTGGATCGCAAGTCCAGTGCACTGATAGTTTTACCATCAGGGGTGGGGTGGTGGTGCAGCCATTAGCACACTTTGCCTTGAACCTCACGACCTGAGTTAAATCCTTGGCCACGGCTAACATCTGTTGTGAAGCGATATTGGAACCAATCCTCTATCACCCCCACCACCCCATCCCACCACCTTCGCAAACTCGCACGGACCAGCTTGGCGAAGTACGGTCAAAGAGCCCCCATGACCAACTGTGGCGCAGGGAGTCCTCCATCCAGTAGTGGATTGATAAAGAGCTTTATTTACCGAGGGGTCCATCGCCCACGAAGCCTTGACCAAGCGTTGGAATGTTCATCATTCCCACGCACAACGTGAGACCTTTTGACCATGCCCTTCTATTCTTTGGGTCTTTCGGTAAAGTCACGTAGATAGGTTCAACCTACGTAGGTGAACCTATCTATGTGACTTTACTGAAAGACCCAAAGAATATAAATTCCTGCCCTCACAAAAGCTTTAAGTCATGTTTTTTTCCTTTCTGATTTTGCAGAGTGGCCGCTTCGCTGAGGCTCCTGGACACGAGAAGAGACAACGTAGATCGCTGCGCAATACATGAGTAGTCTGACCTTACAGCTGCGATGATTAGTAGATTTACGTCGATTAATTTGAGTAATCCATAATACACAACGTTTTAAAATGTTGTGGCTTTGCTCTCCAACACACCGGTGTTGCTGTACTAGTCATGAATTGGCACGTTCTGTTTACGTGACAAACCTTACTAATTGGCTGTGTCGGGTGGCGGTGGGTTTAACCCACAAAACCTCTATTTTTGGATGGTATTGGTCGCGAAAGCCGACTACGTGTTAAACTCAATTGAGTAAAACAAGAAATTACAATCGAACACTTTGTCTGTGATCGATTAAACTCGGGTCTGTTTTACACGTGACGGCCACACCTACTACGTTGTGCCTTGTGAAGGCATGAACCCCTCCCACTCCTCGCGCAACTTCGACCAATGGGGAGGCTTCTGATGTCGCCAAGCGCCCGCCTTCCCCCCCACGTCTTATGATGCGCCGCTGTCACGCAGCCGCTCGCTCTCGAAGGGAGCGCTCGAGAGAGAGAGCGAGCAACTCGAGGGGCGCGTGGAGGAATCGCAACCAAGTGGGAAAATCCAGCAGCTCTGCGGTCTACATATTTAAGGCGTTATCAGAAAACTAATGAGTGCTTTATCTGTGAAAACTCGAGCAAATAACCACGCATTTTGTCGTACCGCCTTCTCATGGCGAACTAGAGTATAGCACCTCTACTCCCGCGGGAAGGGGAGTTTAGAAACACTTTTTGCGTGCGGTCATCCAGCAACCGTCGCTGCTGCCTCCACTAAAGTAACTGTTTATTTTACCAACTAATGCCCACTGAGCTTCGTAGCTCTTTTTCAGAAGCGAACTGTCTTATCAAAAATGATTGTTCAGCGAAGTGGCTTATGTGGAAATTGATAGCAGCCAAATGCTCTAAAACGCGTGGTTGATTGTAAATGTGGAGAGAAAAATCGGAGGACCCGGAGAAAAATCCACGCGACTACGGGGAGAGAGACACGCAGACTGCAAATATACAGCAGGTGTCAGGGTCGGGATCGAACCCACGACCTCCTGTATACCAGGCAAGGTAGTTGGCATGTCTTAGCCACCGTGATGATGAGAGAGAGACACCGCAAACTCCAAATATACAGCAGGTGTCAGGGTCGGGATCGAACCCACGACCTGTATACCAGGCGAGATAGTTAACATCTCGCCACCGCAGTTGCTGGAGCTTAGGAAGCCAACTTGCAACGTAGCCACCGCCACCGTCCGGTTGCTCGCTAGAGTAATCGATTCATTAAAGCAATCGGGCAGGCAACCTCCAGTCGCCTACACTCGAATTGTCGTCGGTGCACGGGTTGAGGAAGCTTTAATGCAAGGTCGTCGTGTGCAAACGCCAAACTCCACCGTCCACTGAACATTCATGTTGTTTCAAAGTGAAGAGTGTGTCGAGTACCCACGGTAGCCCCACCCCTCCCCCCCGTAAACCGGTGTGGTCACACGGCGCTGAGGCTTTCTGGTGCGCTGCATTTGGTTCGTAGCGGAGTAAACGGTTTTCGTTCCGTACGAAGGATTCTTCTTGACGATCTCCCTGATGTTTAGTTTATAAATGAGTGAATGATTGCAGTTACTTATCCAGGGAAGCCAAATCGATTCTCTTTTTTTTTAAGGAGAGTTTTTCTACACTGAGGTTTATATATAGGTTTTAAAAAGTATGTTTTTCAGCCAATTATACGGGAGGAAACCGGAGCACCTGGAGAAAACGTGACAGGTGGGCGACGCTCGATCCCCATACAGATGGAATCGAGTCCACGTTTGCCGTACCGCCTAGAGGTTATGGCCTCTCAACACTCAAGGCGAAGGGACTTTGACAACATTGGCGTGATGCACCAATAAAGTGCAGGTATTTTTGTTGTTTAGGCCGTGTCGTCACAAAACTCTAATCCCAAGCCTCACGCTCTACTCTGCAAGACGTTTACGCATGCGTTCTAGAGTAATTGAGTTGTTGAGAACGTTGAATCGAGTGCTGTGTTGCCAAAGTGTGTGCGTTCTGCGTAGCTGTTATTGGACTTACGGCAGAATGTCGCATTCGTCTTTTTTCTTGAATCCAGTGGGCTCGGAGGTTTTTTTTTTTTTGCGTGGAAGCGTTCCAGCAATCGTTAAGTCCGTCCGTGAACTTTGGTTTTTAATACGTAGGCTTTCACGACCGATGTGATTCGCGATTAGTTTCTTTGGGGGGTGAGATCGTCATTGTCGTGTAGGTGTACAAGAACTCCTGCTTACGAACACTCGACTTGCGAACTTTCAGAGATATGAAAAACCTGTCCGTATGTCCAGTTGCCTGTTCGGAACCGAGAGTCGTAAGTTCAACTGCCGCGTAATAGATGGTTGTGGTGGCATCTACATCTGCAGAACCTGAAGAACCAGTGGACATCTACGAAAGATTATACAATGTTTAAAGCCATTCCCCGTGTTTAGTGTACATGCCGTACAACACATTTGGAATCGACAGGAGTAAAGTTGGACTTACTAACAGACTTCTGGAACATAACTCGTTCGTAAATAGAGGAGTACCTGTAATGTCAATAATTATAACCCTCCCACCACTCGGTGACAGCCTATCAGCTGTCAAGTCATGGGCAATTATGGAAATATATAATATTACACTTTGGCCATCACTTGACAGGACATTATACTTACGCGGCGATCTGACCGAAACATCAATTGTGAATTGTAATTTAGAGCAAGTCGTAATTTCGAGTAATTTATAGTTATTTGGCTGCTGTGAATTTCCACTTGGTGATGATGATAATGATGAGCCACTTCGTTGAACCATCATTTGCCAACAGCCAGGTGGCTTCTGAAAAAAAGAGCGATATGGGTGCTCAGTGGGCCTTGACATGGTAAAATAAAATAAATTGTTTAGTTTTAAAACTTAACATGGGTCACGAAAGGCGACTTCTACCCACGTGTGTTAGGTTTGCGAGAATAAAAACGACACCCGTCTCCCCACTCAGCATTCCAAACGCACACAAAACAACCCAAACAATTTTTTAAATACATCGGTACATTTATTCGTATATAAAAAAACCCAAAACAAATTAAATGATATTACACGTTAATAAATATATATTTTTGGAACAAAAAATGCATAGCTTATTTCATCTTACAACAAAAACCACGTAGGTTACACTGACATGCGATTTAAATAATGCACATAGAGTAAACCAACTCTTATCTGCTGCTGTCCCAACACGGAGGGGTCGGGTCACTCGCTCGCCTCCCCGCTATTGCAGTGGCTTCCCAACCCCGGACTCCCACCCCAGACCCCCACCCCAGACTCCCACCCCAGACCCCCACCCCAGACCCCCACTCCAGACTCCCACCCCAGACCCCCACCCCAGACCCCCACCCCAGACCCCCACTCCAGACTCCCACCCCAGACTCCCACCCCAGACTCCCACCCCAGACTCCCACCCCAGACTCCCACCCCAGACTCCCACCCCAGACTCCCACCCCAGACTCCTACCCCAGACTCCTACCCCAGACCCCCACTCCACCCCAGGTTACGCGGAGGGGTCCTTGCTGGCTCCGCTAGGCCCCTGGAAGTCGGTCCGCGGAACTGTTGCAGAGATGCGATTTGTGTTTTCACCTAAACACGGGATTTTTCTTCTGTTTTTACTGCACGGTGGCCCGCTAAGAAACTAAAATAAAAACCTGTTGATCACGGGGCCAAAACTGTTGAGAAGCATCGCTCCGTAGCTTGACCCATTCAGTTTTTTTTCATATAATTTTTTTATTGAGGCTCTGTGCGGGCCTGATACATCATATCGTTACGCGCGCGCACACGTGCACAGCGTCAACATAATCCAAATCTGTTACGAAAAAGCAGGTGCTTGACCCCCGTTTCATATCGGAAACGCGTGTTCCCACGCTCCTCTGACCTTCGGCGGCGTAGAGAAACTGGCTAGCGGGCACCAGGCTAGTTGCCTGTCGCTGACTCGACCCCTCGCCTGCGTGCCCTAGCTCCATGCGCACGTGGCGCAAGTCCGGTGGGATGTACGCGGTTCATAATCGAGGTTTTTTGTTGTTGTTGCTGCTGCTGTTTTTGCCACAATTCTGGCAATTGTCGGTGAAATGTCACGGTGCTCAATTTGCGAGTGTTGTGGGTTAACTCTCCGGGCACACAAAGCGGTAAGTGCTGAACTAGTCACCAATTGGCACGTTTCGTTTACGTGGCACAACATTACTACTGATTGGCCGTGTCGGGTGGTTCACGACGCATTTATATTCACGCGATCTGACCCAACAACAACAAAAACCTTTATTGTGAGTAATATTGGTGACAAAAACTCCCGCTACTACGCGTTAACTTGGCTGACGCGACATTGAAAATCTTTGCGAGCCGGCATCTGGTGATTTTGCCGTCTGGTGATTTTGGTTCTGCGCTCTGCTCTATGATCTTGAGCCAAAACAATTAACTTTACGATCAATAATCCCCCCCCCCCCGCTGCCCCTACCACCACATTAAATGTAACGATCAATTTGCACTTCCAGCAAACCCCTTCGCAAGGACCAGGTTCTGCCCGTTAGGCTCTGCTCGTTCGCTGGAAACTGTGGTCTCAAAAGAGTTGACCTCCTTGTCTGCATCATTTGGCTGTGGGCCCGCGGGGTGGGGGGGATGTTTCTGGCCATTTAGTGATGTAATTGGGTCGGAGTGGATGGGACCAGGGGAGTTTTGGGCGAGAGCACTGCAAAGAGAACTGCGTAAAAAAATCACTGCAGGGTCTCCTACTTATGAACATTCGACTTAGGAACTTTCAGAGATACGAAAAACCTATCCGTATGTCAAGTTGCCTGTTCTGAACCAAGAGTCGTAAGTTCAAACGCCACGCAATAGATGGCGGTGGTGCATCTACATCTACAGAACGTGAAGAACCAGTGGCATCTACATCTGCAGAACACGAAGAACCAGTGGCATCATCATCTGAAGAACGTGAAGAACCAGTGGCATCTACATCTGAAGAACGTGAAGAACCAGTGGCATCTACATCTGCAGAACACAAATCACCAGTGGCATCTCCATCTGCAGAACGTGAAGAACCAGTGGCATCTACATTTGCAGAACGTGAAGAACCAGTGGCATATTCATCTACATAACATGAAGAACCAGTGGCATCTACATCTGCAGAACACAGAACCAGTGGCATCTCCATCTGCAGAATATGAACAACCAGTGGCATCTACATCTGCAGAACGTAAAGAACCAGTGGCATCTACATTTACAGAACGTGAAGAACCAGTGGCATCTACATCTGCAGAACATGAGGAACCAGTGGCATCTACATCTGAAGAACGTCGAGAACCAGTGGCATCTACATCTGCAGAACACGAAGAACCAGTGGCATCTGCATCTACAGAACGTGAAGAACCAGTGGAATCGACATCTACAGAACGTGAATAACCAATGGCATCTACATCTGCAGAACGTGAAGAACCTGTGGCATTTACATCTGCAGAACACGAAGAACCAGTGGCATCTACATCTGCAGAACACGAAGAACCAGTGGCATCTGCATCTACAGAACGTGAAGAACCAGTGGAATCGACATCTACAGAACGTGAATAACCAATGGCATCTACATCTGCAGAACGTGAAGAACCTGTGGCATTTACATCTGCAGAACACGAAGAACCAGTGGCATCTACATCTGCATAACACGAAGAACCAGTGGCATCTCCATCTGCAGAACGTGAAGAACCAGTGGCATCTACATCTGCAGAACGTGAAGAACCAGTGGCATCTACATCTGCAGAATGTGAAGAACCAGTGGCATCTACATCTGCAGAACACGAAGAACCAGTGGCATCTCCATCTGCAGAACGTGAAGAACCAGTGACATCTACATCTGCAGAACACGAAGAATCAGTGGCATCTGCATCTACATAACGTGAAGAACTAGTGGCATCGACATCTACAGAACGTGAATAACCAATGGCATCTACATCTGCAGAACGTGAAGAACCAGTGGCATCTACATCTGCAGAACACGAAGAACCAGTGGCATCTACATCTGCAGAACGTGAAGAACCAGTGGCATTTACAGCTGCAAAACACGAAGAACCAGTGGCATCTACATCTGCAGAATGTGAAGAACCAGTGGCATCTACATCTGAAGAACGTGAAGAACCAGTGGCATCTACATCTGCAGAACACAAAGAACCAGTGGCATCTCCATCTGCAGAACGTGAAGAACCAATGGCATCTACATCTGCAGAACGTGAAGAACCAGTGGCATCTACATCTGCAGAATGTGAAGAACCAGTGGCATCTACATCTGCAGAACATGAAGAACCAGTTGCATCTACATCTGCAGAACATGAGGAACCAGTGGCATCTACATCTGAAGAACGTGAAGAACCAGTGGCATCTACATCTGCAGAACACGAAGAACCAGTGGCATCTGCATCTACAGAACGTGAAGAACTAGTGGCATCGACATCTACAGAACGTGAATAACCAATGGCATCTACATCTGCAGAACGTGAAGAACCAGTGGCATCTACATCTGCAGAACGTGAAGAACCAGTGGCATCTACATCTGCAGAACGTGAAGAACCAGTGGCATCTACATCTGCAGAACGTGAAGAACCAGTGGAATCTACATCTACAGAACGTGAAGAACCAGTAGCATCTACGTCTGCAGAAGATTATACAACGTTTAAAGCCTTTCGCCCCTGTTTAGTGTACACAGCGTACAAGCGTTTGGAATCGACGGGAGTGAAGTTGGACTTATGAACAAATCGACTTACGAACAGAAGCTCTGGAACCAACTCGTTCGTAAGTAGAGGAGTCCCTATGCTGATGGCCACCTTTTTCAAGCACCCCTGCAGTTTGTCCAACTGCTGTATTCCTTCAGGTGAGGAGTGGTGGTGTAGCGGTTAGCGCTACACTGCTCTACGAACCCGGCGACCCGGGTTCAACTCCCGCTCGCGGCCACCAAAACACCGGTGACGATTATCTGCACCGGTCGTGGGCCTCCTTTAGGTCGACTCAACCTCAACTGAGTACCTGATGCGGTGTGTAGTAAACATCGCCACTGGGGAGACAAAGGCGGCCGAGCGTGTAGCTGGCCACCCACCCCCTCGTGTGCCGTGCCGGCCTTCGTAGGTGCTGCTCGCTAACAGCACTTGCCCCAACAGTCTGCTTAGACCAGACGGGGGGATCTTTGTCTTTCGGATGGAAGTAGAGATTTTGGAGAATTTGTTTGATCGTTGAAGGGGCGATACGATATAAAATAAATACTGCGCTCTGCGTTTCCCTGGACGCTTGCCTCCTGCTGCTGCTGTTGCTGATGTTCCGCAGCAGGGGCCGAGCTTCTCCTGAACGCTGTGCACGAGTGATTGGACGGTGAAAACGTGGCCCACTGAAGCCCTTCTGGGCGGTCGGTCGGTCTGCCGGTCGCTAAAGACACGTGTCGTCCCGTTGTTCATCACGCCTCGGGGAATTCATTTGGAGATAGTACCGGCGACTCGGCAGTCGAGAGAGACAAGAGCCAGACTCGGACCAAAGGCACCATAATAATACTGATGGCACTTGAAATGCATACGACGCAGTGAATATAAATTATAGACAACCCCACGATCTTTTAGTGTTATTTGATTCTTAATGAAAAAAATGTTACTTTGAAATTCACCAACCCCCTCGCCGCTGCTACGTGTCTTCCGCACAACGCAGCACATGCAACATCGTGTTCGCAGCCCTGCATCGATATTGAAACAATTACGTCAAACGTTTACATTTGTATATATATGTGTGTGAAGTACGTAAACTGTTAACGGACACGATTGCGAGTACAAAATTTTCAACGTGTAACCCACAACGTTCATCTCGACACTTTACGACATTCCGCAATACAAAAAATTAATCAACAAAAAAATCTAACTGCTGCCCCCCCCCCCCCGAAAATTAGAGGGGGGCATCATTGAAGGCAGACGCTTTCCCATAATGCATTTGGAATCGTTTTCTCGTTATCGTTTTCTTTGGGGGGGGGGTTTGTTTCGAAAACGAAGTTGACTTGGGATCTCGGGAGAGTGAAAATCGTTTCTTTAAAAAATATATAATAGTACTTTTTTTTACTTAACATCTGCGCTAGCAGCAGCAACAGAAGTCTGGGATGCTTCGTATAATTAATTCCACCGCGTGGTCAAGAACAAGTGACCAAGCGAGCTGGGTGACCTTTGGTAGCGAACTCGTGCAGATTGGTACAAATTGACACTGCGACCCCAAGTCGAACTCCCAAAGGCACGGGCTCCTCTTTGGTGGCGAACGCGTGCAGATGCGCACAAGTCGATACTGCGACAGCTTGTAAGTAAAGGCACGGCCTCCTCTTTGGTGGCGAACGCGTGCCTATAGCCGCAACTCGACGCAGCGGACCTGGAGAGGCGACCCTTCCAAGTCGGGTCTCCAGGTTGCAGGTTTTTTTTCGACGTGTGCGCGTGTGTGTTGTTTGTTTTTTTATTTTGTCGGAGGGCGTCTCGTCACGTTGCTAGGGAAGAAGTTATTCTCCCAGCCACATGAGTCTCGGAGGGGGAACGGGTGGAAGCAGGTTCCCACGATTCGGATGATTGTGTCAATTCCTCGGCGTGCCACTTATATAATTCGTAGCACACACGCCCCCACGCCCCTCTCCACCAACGACCACTGTTGCCACGCAAAGACGTGCGCCCGTCTCCCTTGTCTCAACCTCTCCTTCCCCTCTCGTGAAATAAATAAGACTCCGCTGGCTCCTGCGCAGCGTCTCCCAAGATGCGAGCGATGCTCGCACGTCGCCGTGCTTAATGGCGCGGTGTGTCGATAGCGTCGATTGTTAAAAATAAACAAAACCTTCCTCTCTCGAGCCCATGCCGCTTCCCCGAAGCCGTGGCAGGGCGAGAATGGTTCCGCTGTGTGAGAGCGGGAGCACGTGTTGTGTGTGTTGGGCACCGTTTCGCCCGTGTGGGTGGTAAAGTTCCACGCGGTGGCGACCACTGCCACCATCACCACCTTCGCCTCGCCTCCCCTAATGATGGGCTCGCGTGTAAATCTCTTTGGCTTTGGAGCGCAAGACGTAATGCGTGAGCTTGCACGCTTGAGCTCACTATAATGACAGTGAAGGCACAATATATATATTTTTTATAACCCGAAGAAAAAGAAAATTAGAACTGTTATAAAAAGTGTCATTTTTTTTCAGCCGAGAAAGTCGTGTCACAATATACATTGACGTCTGTGGAAAAAGAGCTTCATAGCTCATCGGATTTCTCCAGGATAAATAAAGATTCTGATACATATATATTTTTGGCAGTACTTTCGAAGTAAGGGTCGGTCCCGCATAGCGAACCTTCCTCCAGTTCCGTGTGGAGTAATTTCTGCTGCTGCTGTTGTCGTTGCTTGTGGGATGTAACCGGAAGAATTCTCAGAGGAACTCCACTCGATGCAGAGGGTACGGCAACTATGTTAAAAAAAAAAACCAACACCCTCCCTCCCATCCTGTACGAGGTGGCGGACAGGAGGGAAGTAAGAGCGAACACACAACACAACATCGGTGCACGCGCCCGTCCATGCGCTATCGACCAACCCCACCACCGATTCCATCGCAACCCCCAATCTCAGCCGTTGAGATTGGGGGGTCATGTGCACCACCACCCAGAGCCACCACCACCACGGCTCGGAGAGGTGGGGAGGGGTGGAGGGGGTCATACGTCCACGGCCAGGGTGTAGCGGTCGTTCTTGCGATTGCAACGGCGCATGACGAGGGCGAAGTAGAGCGAGAGCAGCACGACCCAGTAGCAGGCGTAGAGCGCCGCGCCCACGATGAGGAAGGTCTGCTCGGTGCTGTCGAAGGGATTGCTCACCTCGCGGTACACCGTGTAGGCGATGCCGCCCAGCAGCACGGCGAACCACAGCGAGATGGGCACCAGGCCAATGAAGTTGGTAACGATCGTTTTGCGGCCGGACGTGCCCCAGCCCGCCTTGGTGATGGTGGCGATGGCGAACATCTTGGCAGGCAGGAGGCTGCTCATGTAGAGGAGCGAGTAGAGCGACATGAAGATCATGACGACGTTGCCGCGTAGGAAGCACGCGAACGCAGCCTTGAGCATCCCCACGAACTGGACGGTGAGCAGGAAGAGGAGGATGTTCCAGATGCGGCCCCGATAGAAGAGCTGCACCACCGTGGCGACGAGGAAGAAGGGGAAGAAGCCCGTGATCACCGCCTCGTACGTCATCCACAGGTGGTGCTTGTGGAACCACAGCGAGTTGTAGAGCCACTCTCTGAAGTAGGACTTGCTCCAGCGCGTCTGCTGGTTGAGCCAGCGCAAGTAGCCTGTGGGCGTCTCAGTGAGGCAGCGCGCGCGCGCCGTGTACTTGGTGGAGTAGCCCAAGCTGAGCACGCGGTTCGTGAGGTGGCGGTCGTCTCCGAAGCTGCACTTGGAGCCGAGGAAGCGCTGCTCGTACCAGTCCTCGAGGAAGCGCTGCAGCAGCGAGTTGCGGTACATGCCCAGCGGGCCGCTGATGCACTGCACGCATCCGAAGTAGGACTGGCAGGCGCGCTCCACGTTGAAGGCCATCCAGTAGCGCACACTGCTCAAGAACGAGATCCAGGAGTCGTACTTGTTGAGGATCTGGGTGCGGGAGAGGTGGTGGGGATGGTGGGGGGGGGGGGGGGGGGGTGAGTAACTTGCGGTTGGGATTTTGTAAGCATTGCGATGTTAGAAGAGGTTTTTTTGGAGTTAGATCGCGTAAATATATAAATGTTGCGTCGTTAAACCTGCCACCACCCGACAGCCAACTAGTAAGGGTTGTCACGTCAACAGAACGTGGCCAATTCGTAACTCGTACACGTACAGCACACCGGTGTGTTGGAGAGCCAAGCCACAACATTTATAATCTGAGTACGACGTTTCACCAATAATTACAACTAGCTTCATCAGGCGACAGCCAGGTTTGTGGGTTTAACGACACGTTTTTACATTTACGCGATCTAACCCAAAAACATATCGACTATGGATGACATTGGTCGCGAAAGCCTGCCACGTGTTAAACATTGCGATGTTGTCTGACCCAATGCCTGTGTTACGTTCGATGTATGTTGTTGTTTTTTTAAAGCTATGGGTGCAAACCCGAGAACCAGGAGGACACGTTACTTGTACATTGCGGAGTCATCGGTAAACCGGATATCTCCACGTCCAATGTCACCGCACGCACCTGCACGTCGCCTCCGACGCCTCCGACCTTCTCATCCTCTTCGAGCACCTTCACCATCTCCACGGTGCAGGCGGGGTCCAGCACCGTGTCGGAGTCGCACACCTGTGGGGTGTGGTGGTGGTGGTGGAGGGGGGGGAATGGAGAAGATAACTTTGACGAATCGGACTGACCAGCTGATCGAAAACATTTCTGGACACTTATCTGTGATAGTTAAAAAAAAATCAAGTTTCACTTTGTGTGTTTTGTTTAGCCCATTGAGAAGTCAAGAGACGAGTGGATGGTTGAGCGAATAGGCGAGTGGGTGGTTGAGTGGCTGGATGGATGGTTGAGTGAGTGGGTTAGTGGGTGGATGGATGGTTGAGTGAGTGAACGAGTGAGTGGGTGGATGGATGGTTGAGTGAGTGAATGATTGAGCGAATGGGTGGTCGAGTGGCTGGATGGACGGTTGAGTGAGTGAGTGAATTGGTGAATGAATGACTGAGTGGCTGAGTCAGTGGGTGGTCGAGTGGTTGGATGGATGGTTGAGTGAGTGAATGCATAAAGATACATTTACGTCGCTTGACAGTCAAATTGACATAAAAAAAAAACTTTTCACAGCTGGAATTAAAATCATAGTAATACTAATGACGAGTCTTACGTGTAAAGCGCCGTTCATCATGCATCTCAAAGCGCCGTACAGCACGATCATAAAACTGAACACTAAGAAACAGCAACCATCACAAATAGTAGAAAGCGCCATTAGTTGAATTCGCTACCCACTTAATAAGTGCAAGTGTATAGATATTTAATGTTTATTTATTGACGAGTGAATGGATGATTATGACGATGATGACAGCCGTCTGTTATTATGTAGAGTAACGTCAGGCCCTCTCCTCGTCTCAATAAAAATGGAATGGAACTTCAGCGGACCTGATTAAGGGGGGGGGGGGTCTGGGTTCGAGCCCAGATTCCCAGCTCCTGCCCGTGATAAAAAAAAACAGGTTTCAAGGGTAGCGAGTTGATGGACTCAGCCCAGTCATAAAGAGTTATAAACCTATTCTAATTTGCCATGCACATTCGAAAATAAGACCGTTTACAAAAAAGACTTAAAGCCCTCCACCCCCCCCCCCCGACACACCTCCATATAGCCTGCACCAAGAAAAAAACCGCCACTTTTTTCAAACATTTTATTGCTGTGGTTTTCACACCTGATGATGATTGCTTGTGTTGCAATCGAAACGTCGTGAGAATTTTATTGGTAAATAAATTATTATTTTATTATTTCCCCTTCTACGTGACTTTACCGAAAGAACCAAGAATATGAATCTCTGCAGTCACGAAAGCTTTAAATCAAAATTTGCACTCGGCTGTTGGGGGAAGTGCTGTAAGCAAGCACTCTCGAAGGCGTGGACCAAATAATAAAAATGGGAGTGGGGTGGCCAACAGCACGCCCGACCGCCTTTGTCTCCCCAGCGTTGATATTCCACCGGGCACTGGTTCGAGACTGAGTCGACCGAGGGAGAGGCGCGGTACCGGTAGAAGGAACGCAACTAAGTGCGCTAACCACTGTGCCACCGCTCCAAACGAAGACAAAGACCCCCCCGTGTAGCCTTAACAGACTGTAGAGGCAAGTGCTGTTAGCGAGCACCTACGAAGGCCGTAACGGTACACATCACGACCGACCGCCTTTGTCTCCCCAGTGGCGATGTTTACTACACACTGCACTGGGTACTCATTTGAGGCTTGGTCGACCTAGGGGAGGCACGGGACCGATTCAGATAATCGTCACCGGTATTGGCCGTGAGCGGGAATTGAACCCGGGTCGCCGGGTTCATAGCGCAGGTCGCTAACCGCTAAACTACCGCTCCCCACACTCCAAACGCACACATACACACGCAGAGCTGGAGGAAGTTACAGGTAGCGCCCTTCCTGTGGGTTCATCCACGCGCCTCTTGAGTGGCTCTCTCTCACTACGAAAGTGACGAGCAAGAATAGTACAGGGTGCTTCAAAGAAATGGTAACACTTCTGAGAAGTTGTCAACAACGCCACAAGAAATGTGCCTATGGAGACCACCTGGAGAAGATTCCAGGCACGTGTTGACACCAATGGCGAACAAGTGGAGACTCGTGACTTTTTGAAGCCTTGAACATGCATTTGTTGTCATGTTACAGTGTAGTATCCGTTCTTTTTTCATTCAAAACAATGGTCCCATGTAAGTGTTAAACAAAAATGTAAGCACCCTTGACCAGTTCGCCATCACGATTGTTATGATGGCGACGATGATGACGACGGCGATGATGACGATGATGATGATGACGACGGCGACGAAGATGATGACGACGGCGATGATGACGATGATGATGACGACGATGGCGACGACGATGATGATGACGACGACAATGATAACGACAATGATGATGACGGCGATGATGATGATGATGACGATCATGATGACGACGGCGACGATGATGATACCGACGACGACGACGACGCTGCGCGTACCTGCATGTAGTCGACGGCCATGCCAAGCGCCTTGAAGGCGGTGTACATCACCTCGCGCTTGCCACCCCAACGCTGCATGAGGCACACGTGGCGGTGGCCAAGCGTCGCCTCGCGGACGCGCGCCTCGCCCTCGGCGTACGACCGCTCGCTCTCGCCATCGCCCAGCTCGTGGTAGTTGCTCCGCCACCGGTAGGTAACGGCGGCGCGACCCATCACCTCGCGGAAGATGTCCATCATGTACGCGTCCTCGTCCGAGTTGCCGTCCACCACCATCACGACTCGCACGCCCGGGTAGGCGAGGCGCTTGACCGACCGCAGGCACTTGCGCAGGTAGTCGGGGTCCTCCTGGTAGGCGGCCACGCACAGCGCCACGCTGCGACGCGTCGGCTTGAGCGAGGTGCCGGCGCGGCGCATCTTGCGGTGCTCGAGAAGAGCAAAGAGGCTCTGGATGAGCAGGTGGAGCGCCAGGATCGCGCCGTAGAGGCCGAACGAGAGGTAGTAGTTGTCGGTCGAGATGAACTGGTAGCCCGTGATGTACGCGGCCACGATGGCGCCCAGCACCACCAGGGCGAACATCGTGGTGCCTACCAGACGCAGCGCCGAGGTCACCTTGCGGCACAGCATCTGCGTGGTCGTGAGAGGGAGGGGGTAAGAAGGAGGAGAGCAGAGCGTGAAATCTTTCGTGAAGTATTTCATTTAAACAGAGGGGGGGGGGGGCACATAAAGCAAAGCATTGAAAGAAAGAAAAAAACGAAATGATGAACGAAGCAAAGTGCCGACTACACCGAGCATCTTCTTGTTTCCTCTGATCGTAACAAAAGAGGGAGGGAGGGAGGGAGGGGGAGGGGAGGGGAGTGGGGGGCTTCGTGGTTGGGGTCTGACAAAGATGATCTTTGCCATCTCTCTCTGTTCCTCCTTCTCCTTCCGCTCAATCCACGCTTCCGCTCTCTCTCGCTCTTCTCCCTTCTCGCCCCCTTCACTGGAACAAAACTTCCCCCTCTTCACATAAAGCGCTCACACCATTCGCTCACCAAGTTTCCGCTCCGCACTCACAAACTCACTCCTTGGTGCCCCTCCCTCACCACCACGCGACCCCTGAATCCCCCCTCCCTCATCCCCCATAACCACCGCCACCGTTATTTTTCCCTCTGCACATTCTCATTATCTGGCTGCCACTCATTAACCCCATTCATTCATTCCTTTCATCATAATTTACAGTCATCATTCCCCATTCATTCCTTTCATCACCATTTAGTGTCATCAATGTTACTGTCATCGTTTAGGCTCACTCATTCCCCATTCATTCAGAGGCAAGGCCACGTTAAAGAGATGGGGTTTTCAGCGGACTTAAATCTATCAACCGACTCAGATTACCCTGATTTCAAGTGGCAGGGCGTTCTGTGACTTGTGGGTGCCACGCTGACAAAAGAACCGATCACCAAGAGAGCGCAACCTGTAGACCCGGGAGTGCTGAGCAGTTGGACATCAGAAGGTCTTCAGGACCTTGATGGAATAGTTCAATATATAAATATATAAATGCTCCTGCAAGTGATGTGGGGTGAGCCCTTTCAAAGCCAAGTATCTTAAAATCCACTCGGAATTTGACCGGTAGCTAATGAAGGGATAAGAGGACTTGGGTGTAACGTGCTCATAGAATGGTGTATGTCGTGTAAGCACTCTAGCAGCTGCATTCTGAACAAGCTGGAGTCTGCCCAAAAATCCCAACCAGCGTGGCGTTGATGGTGATGACGATGTTGTATCAGTATCGGAGGAGGTCAGGGTTGCACTCAGCAGACACAGAAAACACGTGGACGGCTGGCTACGTGCGGTGCGAAAGAAGTTCGACATACATACACGCATAGCGTGTTGCCCCCTTGCATGCGTGGGGTTTTCTCGATTCGTATGTATGCCCCGTGCGTATGTTGAACTTTTTTTCCGCACCGTACGTGGCCAAACCGTGCACAGTTGCTCGTCAATTGGCTGAAACATCTTCATATACAGAGGGCCGCGGAGCTTGGGAAATTGTTGGGCAGCGCTGGCAGCTCATCACCGCGTTGGCTGCTTCTGCTGCTTTCCCAATCCTCTGAGTCTTCTCTCTCTGCGAGAGCGAGGCATTATTGTTACTACGTGACATCGTCAGTCTCTGATCTCTCTGGGGCTCTTAGACGAGTCTAATGTCCACAACCCTCTCGGCAATTGCTTCTTGGGGTTCAGTTTTGGGTGGGTTGGGGGGGGGGGCAGAGTCGGGTTAAATGATGACGTCACCCTGCTGCTCTATTTAAGACCGAGAGCAAGTGAGGGCTTCACTATTCTGGCAAATTTCCTGATGATATTGGATGTAATTACTAGCGAAACGTCGTACTCAAAACTGTAAATGTTGTGGATTCACTCTTCAACACACCGGTGGGCTAAAGTAGTGAACTATTTTGTTTTTGTCAACGTGACACTTTTTTACTCATTGGCCGTGTCGGGTGGTGGAGGGTCACGACACATTTATAAATAACGCGATCTAACCCAAAAACGTTTATTATGAATAATATTGGTCGCGATAGCCTACAACGTGTTAAACTATTCTGGAGTCTCTCCACTCGGGGGCGATATCCGAATGCGTCACGGACGGTGGGACCGCGTGGCCTTGGCGGCTCTTTTTAGACTTCACGGCTTGTCGGTGAGAGGGCATGTGTGAACACACACGGGGGCAGTAGTGGTACTACGACTACTACCTCTTAGCTTTTCTAACTAGGGGGGCGGAGTGGGGGGGGATTTTCTCGTTATTTATTCATTCATTTGTGCTTTTTTATTTGCTAAGTTAGCGGGTTTTGTTTTTCTGTCATCTGCGTAAGGGACCGGCTAAATTCACCTTGCAGTGTTGCGGGATACAATTTCACGATTGACGCTCTATAAAATTGTAATCATGATTATACCCCTTGACTTACTTAAAGCCTAGTTTTCAAGGTCACGATCCCACTGGGCGAGCACGGCAATATGCTGACGAAGAGTTCGATTTCAAATGTCGAGGGCCGCTGCTGTTGCTGCTGCTGGCCACGACAAGAGAGTTTCAACAGAGGCGTGCGCGATCACCACCACCGCCGCCACAACGCACGCTGCATTTAGCGCCACAGCGCGTGGATTTTTAGCATTTATTTATTTGCTGGTGACTGTGTATTTCATATCGGAATCGCCTCCAGTGCTGTTACTGCTGGCGGCAATAAAAGTTGTTTAAAAGTCAACAGAGACAGAGTTCGTGTCGCGTCGCTCTTTCTTCTCCTCCTGCGTGGAAGGAGCGCAGTTGGTGGCTAAACTACATCGTGCGCCGATGTTGAATTCGAGTGGCGAGAAACCTCGAGCCGCCACCGCCGAGCAATGAAGAGGAAAGAGCTTCATCGGCCACAGTTGGATCAATGCATTGGGCACGTTGTAGATTGTGATAATAAACGAAACACTTTATTTCGTTTGACCAGGTGAGGCCCAGTGAGCTGTGTGGCTCGTTTTCAGAAGATCTGGCTCAACGAAGTGGGCTCATCATCATCGTCATCATCATCACATGGACGTTTACAACAGCAGCCAAACACTCTAATCGCGTGACGTTCATTCTAAATATGGAAGGGGAAAACCGGAGGACCCGGAGAAAAATCCACGCGATCACGGAGAGAGAGAGAGACACGCAAACTCCAAATAAACAGCAGACTTCTGGATCGGGATCGAACCCACGATCTCCTGCATACCCGTCGAGGGAGTTAACATCTCCGAGCCACCGTGGCGCGCAATGCCTGTGTAACAATGTCCGTGTACACGTGGGGAGCGGTGGTGTAGCGGTTAGCGCGCTGCGCTATGAACCCGGCGACCCGGGTTCGATTCCCGTTCACGGCCAACACCCAGTGACGATTATCTGAACCGGTCCCGGGCCTCCCCTAAGTGGACGCAGCTTCAAATGAGTACCTGGTGCAGTGTGTAAACATCGCCACTAGGGAGACAAAGGCGGTCGGGCGTGGTTATGACCACCCACCCCCTCGTGTACCGTTCCGGCCATCATAGGTGCTCGCTAACAGCACTTGCCCCTACAGTCTGCTAAAGCTATACGGGGGATCTTTGTCTTTATCTTTGTGTAAAGGTGACAATCTCGTCGGTGGTGGTGGGATTAACGACACGAATTCTGGCTCTCACACGTACACAGGGCATCCATAATCCACAGAGCTCCAGTGCACGCTGGAGCTCTGTGGTCAACTCAGCCCAAAACTTACACCTGTTTTTAGTGCAGTCAGCATCAGGACCGAGAAGACAAAGGCGATCGGGCATGCGTAGTGCACTGTATGAACAATCACAGTAGTTGTCAAATCCACTGCTGGATGAAGGCTTCCTCCCCAAGGCGTGTCAGTCACGTGGGTTGTTTGGCCATACTTCACCGAACTGATCGCGGTGCGGATTAGTGAAGGGTGAAAGAGGGGGTGGTGGTGGTAGCCCAGGACTGGGTTGAGAAGTCACTCGCCACTGATATTAGCCGGGTTACCGGCCGTCGTTTAGCAAGTGCAGTTGCGCTAACCGCTGCGCCACCGCTCCGCCGCCCAGCACAATGAACAGAGAGGAGCCGAATTGGAATCGGCCCAATCTGCGTGGGCGCGGGAATGGGTTTGTGTTTTTTTAAATCATCATCAGGCGCGTGCAGCGTGTCTTGCGTAACGGGAGCGGACCGGTTAAACGCGGGCGTCGCAAAAAACTCCGCTGTAGGCGGTCTCGTTGAAGGACACTTTGAACTTATTTCGCACCACACGTAGCCAACATTGTCACGAGAGAAGTTGTTGTTGCTGCTGCTGTTGACCGTGACCTCGCTTCATTGTGCACGCAAATAACACAAAGGCCTCCTCTGTCTCTCTCCCTCCCTCTCTCTCTCCCTCCTCTACGCCAACGTAGCGGCGACGTTGCCGACGCTACAGCGATGGTGATCGATGCGTTCAACGCGGCGCTTCGCAGAACGTCGCCGTGGTCACGTCCAGCATTTGCTTTGGCACCGGGAGGCGGGTTTGGTTGAAGGGGTGGAATCACGGAGCTCGTGGAAGATCGAGCCCGAGGGGGTGGGAGTCTCCTGCCGTTTGGGTCGCGACTGACGATCGTCAAGGGTTGTTGTTTTCAATAACAACGACGGTGGCGGTGGTGCGCGTGAAGCAGCGGATGGTCGTGACATCCTCACCCTACGAACACGTCACAACGACGGCTTGGGGCTCACGGGAGCTGTCGTAGAGGACGCTCTGATCCGATTGGTGCAGAGGAGGAGGATTTGAAAAGGGCGGGAAAACCGGTGAAGGGGATTGGCGGAAGAAGTGGGAGACGTGTAGTATATAGTAGTGTAGTGTATAGTAGTGTAGTATATAGTGTAGTTTCTAGTGCAGTATATTGTAGTGTATAGTGTAGTATATTGTAGTGTATAGTGTAGTTTATAGTGTAGTATATTGTAGTGTAGTGTATAGTAGAGTAGTATATAGTGTAGTTTATAGTGTAGTTCCTAGTGTAGTATATTGTAGTGTAGTGTATAGTGTAGTATATTGTAGTGTGTAGTGTAGTTTATAGTGTAGTGAATAGTATACAGTGTAGTATATTGTAGTGTAGTGTATAGTGTAGTATATAGTGTG